AAGTAGTAGAAGTGCTTGATCCTCATCATCTACTTCCACATCAATGTCTTTCAAGTCCGATATGATCTTATCAAACTTGTTGACGTACTCCCGGATTGGTGTACCTTCATCCATCTTGCAAGTATACAATTTGGATTTCAAATAGATCCGATTTGTTAGAGTCTTTGTCATGAAGTTCGCCTCCCACTTTGTCCACACCTCCGCCGCCGTTACCTCACTATCAACCAAGAAAGCAACATCTCTTTCAAGGCAAAGAATGATAGACGCTCGTGCCTCAAGATCTAGCTCTTCCCAATCCTCGTCCGACATATCAACGTGCTTCTTCTCCTTTCCCGCCAATGCCTTGTGCAACTTTTGAGAAATCAACAAATTTTTCATTTGCATTCTCCAATATGAAAAATCATTCTTCCCATTGAATTTCTCTATCTCATACTTCCCAATCTTCACCATTCCTCTAGTAGACATGATTTATTCACTTGTTTACCGAAAATAAACCACAAAAGTTCACTTGGAAATTTTCACAAACACCTTGTGTGCACAACAAAGTTCAAGCAACTCACCAAAAATCGAAACTTAACCACCTTGATTTAGGAAGAAGCTCTGATACCAAATTGTTGGGAAAATGACCTCCCAAAGATTGCCCAAGAAATTAAGCTTGACAATGTGAAAAAATCCCAAACCACTTCAAGAACAAGAAAATGGGGAAGAAATGATTTTCAATATATAAATGAAGAACAATGGATTTGGATTACTTGAACAAGCCTCAAGTTAATCCCCAAGAAAAGAAAATAGCTTTGAATTTATACCCAAGAAGAACAACCTCTTACTTGTTAAATTCAATCCAAGCTCTCTCTCACTTTTCTCTCCAAAAATCGGGTTCAAAGAAGGGGAAAAAACACCAGCTATATATAGAATGAATCGGGCGCCATGGCGCCCATGAGTAGCGCCATGGCGCCAAGAACAAGCAGAACCATGGGCGGCATGGCGCCAGCCTCACTATCCATTTTTTCAAGTTTGGGCGCCATGGCGCCCAATCATGGGGCCATGGCGCTTGACTCCCTGCACACTTCTTTCTCACAGCTTTTTCGAAAGAAGCAAGTTTTCGAGCATCAAGGTACTAGAATTATTGCATACAGATCTTTGTAGACCGATTACGCCTGCATCATTTAGTAAAAGTAATTACTTCATGTTATTTATTCATGACTTTTCCTGCAAAACATAGATGTATTTTCTTGGAGGAAAGTCTAATGCACTTGAGGTATTTTCCTGCAAAACGATGGTGGAAAATCAAAGTGGTCAAAGATCAAAGCCTTACGTTCAGATCGTGGTGGTAAATATATTGGCAACTCATTCAAGAAGTTTTGAAGATCATGGCATTTATTATTCTTTGATTGTTCCTATGTCTCATCAGCAAAAAGACATAGCTGATACACTAAAAATAACGTATAAATTAAATTCCTTGATCAAATTATTAGTTTTCATTGTGTATGACAGAAAGCAAGGGTCATTTTCTGCACAGGAGTTATTTACTTTGTTAAGAAAAAATCAAGAGAATATTACTAATTTAAACAAATGAGATAATATTCAATAAACTAATCCGATGACCAATGAAATGTTACTTTTGATGTTATTTTTTAAATGGGGATGGAATTGTTCTGAATTTAAATGCAAATAAAATAAATAAATTCACTTAAAAAAAATCAACAAATGAATTCAGTTTATATTGATCCAAGAATCAAACGAATTAAATGTGATTAGGGGTTTTTCTTCACCGCTAACATGACTTCCTTAATTTTTGCAAAAAGGGATTTTATCCCTTTTGAAAATGTAAATTCTCGAACAATTACAAAATCAATTATCTCTTTCTCTTCTTACTTATTCATTGAATAAAATAAGTTCTCCACCCAATTTTTTTTTTTTTTTTTACCAAACAACCTGGCACATGGTCTTTAAAGTTTAATTTAATCGAAAGCATTCAATCAGAAGTGGCAAAAATTGAATCAAGCACAAACGCACAAGCTAACAAGTAACACAAATGGATAAAGAAGTGTCTGCAGTTTATTAACTGGAAATCATATCTCGGGTTTAGAATCACCCTTAGTCAACAAAATAACTTAGTTACCCATAACAAACTAAACAAAGTAAAATCCATATGGAAGTAATAAAAAGGAGAAGAAAGGAAGCTTGATGGAGATGATCGATGCTGGTTCCCACGGTTCCTGAAATTAGTGTCCGAGTTCTGCACCTTTTCCTCTCGTCTTCCTCCGCTAATCCTCCTTCCGAAAAGTACCTGTGAACCCCGTTCTTTTTTCTTATTTTTTTTCCTCCCAGTGTTATGGGATTTTCAGTCCATTTGAGTTCCTAGAGTCCCGTAAATTTCAGTCTTCTTTAATCTTAGAATTCTCATCCTTTAGAATGAAAGAGCCCAAGTTAAAAGAATTATGTTGCTTCCTCATTGAAATGGTTGAGGAAAGAACCTCTGTGCCCTCCTGGCAGTGTAGGGTGCTTCCGCCGTTCCGATGATCAATTGTTATTTGTAAAATTGAGATCGGGACTTTCTCCCCCGTTGTACCTCCGGTGTGAGAATTAGTATCGAATTATGAAGAGTTAGGAAAAAAGAGATATTCCAATAACTAAAGCTTTTCTAAGATCTTTACCTGTTTCACCTTTTGGAGTATTTATAGGTAATGTGAAGGCCGGGCGGTTATGGTGCTACGTGTCCCACATAACCTCTCCCACTTTCTTAGTGGGTAACCTCCGCCCGTTCAACTGCTAGTCGTGTTCGTAACAACCGTTGCGTGATCTCTATTCAAATTGTGATTTTTGGCTAAGTGTTGTATTGACCGAGTAGTGGTGATGAGCCCCATGGTGGTCGACGTCCCGACATAGGTATAGCCTAGGGGTTCGACATTTGGCATGGGTGCAGAGCGCCTAGGGAGTTGATGTCCCAGCATGGGTGTTAAGCGCCCATGGGAGTCGACGCCCGGCATGGGCGTAGAGCGCCTAGGGGGCCGACGTCTTAGCATGGGCATAGAACGCCTAGGAGGTCAATGTCCCGGCGTGGGCGTAGAGCACCCATGGGGTCGATATCTTAGCATGGGTATTGTATGCCCACGGGTGGTGTGGGCTGGCGGCAGAACCCATATCTTGTCAATTGTTATAGGTAATTAGCGATGTCCAATATCATTAGCCCTTCTACCCCTTGTCGATATTTATTGGTAAGGAGTAGCATCTATTCTCCCTTCCCATGCCTTAGACAACAATTTTTTTTTTTACTTAATACTCGACCGTAGTTGGCTCAATATGAATGGGTCGAGCCATCTAGGTGGCGTTGGGTAATGACAACC